CGCCTTAACGGCTCTCGTTGGTGTTACAAACCCTGTTTAGTCGATTTTATTTCCACATAATATTTTATGTTCATTTCAGTGCCTCGTGTGTAGGGTAAACCGTAAAACCCATTTTACGGCTCCATTTTGTAAATAAATCGATATACATATGCCTATAAAACATTGGTCAAAGGATTTATTGTATTATTTGCTAAAGTAATTAATTATTAATGAGAACACACTTTCTGGTCTACAGGGTGAGTCTTTAATATTGCCCGAAAATTTAAAGTCGAATTTTTTTTGTCTAAATATGAAAACATAGAGAGTGTTAAAGTTTTTAAAATAAGTTTTTATTTACAGAGAGAAAAAATAATTTATACTTAAAATAGCGTAAGTTAACAAATTATTTATATAGGAAATCCAATAGTACCATAATATAATAATTATAAATAATCGTTGCATACCTATTTACATCTGGTTGACAAAAGGTTGCGCCTGAGTTAGAAGCGGTAATTCAAACTTTCTAAGTTCTTTACATATCTATTTTAAAATTGAATTATTTTATTTTGAAAACCATATTTTGATACGCAACTCGGCAAAATCCTTGTTTTCTATCAATAATCAGTAATACATTTTTTACTACTTCAGTTATAATTACTATTATTCGTATTATTACCATCACAGTAAACCTTTCTTACTGAATCAGTAATTTTTATTACTACCTTTACTAGTAAAACTAGCAAACTGAATCTGCGAAATAGTAGTATTTTTTCTAACAACCACAGTAAAACAGGTAAACAATAAATGTACCAAACCGTTACGATTAATAACGAAGAATTGGCCGAAGTCGTTTCTGGCTTGAATTATTGAGCGATCTTCGACCATATCTTCTTGCACAGTCGTTAAGTCCACAGCCACAGTAGACACGTTCAGTCGTCGTGAGCATAGGTCGTGAAATATGAAGTGCGTGGTTTCTATCTAGGGGTATTTTGAATATGGAGACGTACCAGTATTCTGCATTATTAAGAGAATGGGGCTTTCCAGACCTAATTCGAAATAATATACTTATACATAGATTAACGTAGAACTAAATCTAGTACCATAATGCATAAATGCTTTTATTTCGGATTGAGGATGAGTCATACGGTCTAGGAATGTTTAAACTGCACCGGAGCACATTTAGTATCAAAAATTTAAAGTTTTTAGATTAAAATTTATTAAAAATATTTCGGATTGAAACTCCCTAAAAAGAAAATTGCATTTTTTAAATGCTTTAACGCTTTTTCATTAAGCAAAGCTGTTGTAATTGATGTATTAAAATAATCCCGGCTAACCAGACATTATTGAATTATTTTTCTAGTATTTCGTTACCTGTCTGCGAGCCGTCGGTCGGGACATCAAAAAGCACGAAATATTACAAATAACCGAAATTGCGTGGGCACCTATCAAAGAGAAGGCCTGTCAGATGCAGTGACCCTCGTCCTTGTTAAGCGTAAACCTCACTTCCAAATTTCGAGAGCCATTGGAATTCCCTACACAGCCTCGTGTTTATAGTTTATTGGTAAGTTCGGTTAAGCCTTGTTATAGCGAGTGTTATTCGTTAATTTCCCTACGAACCTATGAAGTATTTAGGATGAACATGAAAAAAGAGTTTATGAATTTTCTGAATTCTTCTTTATTTTTTGCTGATTTGAGCTCTGTAGGCTACGTTTAAATACTCTGTAAAATGTGAATTGAACTTTTCAACTGAAAATTTTCTCGGGATCAACTAGGCTTTCCTGAATTACGTTTTTGGAGCCAGGCGTTAATTAAATTTTTTCTTGGTGGCCAGTTTTTTTTGGTCCAGTGGTCATCTCTTGCTCTACTGTCCCACTCACATAGGAAACATGGATATTTCGTATATCCGGATTGTTGACCTAAAAGCAACCCTAAAATTTTATGTCACCACATAGAATCCAGTTATGTTGTCTGTAGTTTATTCTTAAAAGCAGTACCTCAAGATTTTCGTAATTTTCTTTTAGCTGAGTAGAATGACCAACAGAAACAGATGCATATAAATTGACATTATGAAGTAGAACAGCTTTAAGACTTCTCTTTGAAAAGTCTCCACTCGGCAGGATTGTATTCAGGAGCACCTAGGTGAATAACCAAGTCAGAAACATTTTGACAATATACAAATGAACCAGCTGTGGCAAAGTAATTAACAAATTCAGCTTCACGATTTCTATACCAATAAAATGTAGTACCTGGAGCAAGTAATTTTTGTTCTTTAAGCCTTGGTCCTTAAACCTCAGAGAGGTCTTTTGAAACTCCCAAATCCCTGACTAAGTCATTCAGTTCTACTTGAGAAAATAGCTGCGATTCACGGGTTCCTAAGGTAGATGGCTCAAAAATGTCAATTTCTGAATCTGTTGAAGATTCTGATTCGATAGACTGTAATACTTTAGGTGGAACAGGTACAGATATATCAGCGTCATGTGGAACTGGTCTTATTGAAGACAAAAGATTAAGATAGTTAATATACTTTAGAGATTTTGTGTTTTGACCTTTAATATCAGAAAGACAAAAATAGCAATCGTCAATTTTTAGGTTCTCTCCAGACCATTGGTATTCCAAACGGTAGGACTTTTCTTGTTCCTTTAAACCAATGCCTCAAGGCTTCTTCGCAAATCTTGCAGATAACATGTGGCGCCCAAAGTTTATCTTGATCTCCAAGTCTAACTTTAAAATATGCATTTTTTACGAAATCAGTAATGTTTCTTTTAAACTTCTTCACTATAAAGTGTCCACAAATATAACAAAAGTAATCAGGCCTATTTTTACAACACCTACAAGACATTTTTTTAATAGAAAGTGCACAACGAAATACCGATAGAATTCGATAGACAACGCCTGTCTCAATACCACGGGGATACTAAATATATTGCCCTCTTTCCTGAATAAATCGAGTCTCGGGGAACCCCCAACAATATTCTAGTAAGTACCGGTAAATCCTCCTACAAATGCGCAAATTAAAACGAGGTTTTAACGCGTCTCAACGTTTTGAATAAAAATAAGGAATTAAAATTAATTTGTTCATTATGTTCAGGAATAAACCCTTGATACTAGTTTACAAAAAAAGTTTACGTGATAGAATAAAAAGGGGGTTATTTTAGCTATATAGAAGTTGTAAATAGGTGAAAATAAAATAAAATGACTAGATCACAAAATTTTCGGGGGACTGTGTAATTTGTAGAATACAGCTTCTCCTGCTCTCTTGCTGGTTCCAATCCAGGGGATTCTGCTCTTTCTAGACTGCTTTAGTAACTAAACTTACTGTCTAGTGAAAGAGAGAGAGAGAACTTTTAGTTACTTATCAGTCCAATTAGAAGCTATCCAGAATAACCGAAAAGATTCCCTTTCTGCAACAAGTAACATTATTTTTTCAAAATATCCTGCTGGTGGTACATACTGAACAGCTTGACCGAATCGACTGAAGACGTAACTGTCATCCCATTTACCCAGCACACAATCTATAAAATACATAATATATAAATTCGATAATCATTGCTGTAAACCAGAGTAACTGGGAAATAGATATCTATATAGCGGCTTTATTTATTGACTTTAGTTCATGGAAAATACTTGACGTTATTAATATCCTGCAGATATATTTGTTTTTGTTTAAATATAGATCTAACAAAAGTCCTTTCTGCACAATTTTATTTGATCATTATCTATTGCTTAGCCGGCTAATTTATGTAAAATTAAAGGACCTACACTATGAACCCTCGCTTTCTACAATCTAGGGGTTAATAAGAAGAAACAGGATAACAAGTGGCCATTCTACTAATATCTAACCTAACCTAATCTTTTCTGAATTCCATCCGTTGACAAACAGTATACAAATTAATTTATTTCTATTATTTATTTATAATTTTAGGCTGTGTTAGAGCAGAATTGTAATTTCGAATTTAAATTAATTTTGTTAAATATCCGGAATGATTGATTTGACATAAATACATTTTCCATAAAATTAATTAAATTAATTTTCACTAGTATCAGAAATATACAGTAATAATAATAATTTACTGCGTTTTATAATTTTAACAATCATTAAAACGAATCACAGGGGAACAGCTGTTTTGGAAGCAAAAATTGACTTTCTTTTGTTGTTCTCGAAGTATTCAAGCCCTTCAATGACATCTAATTTTTTTATTATATTCGATGGTTTTCTTAATTGCCATCTCATTGAACAACAGAATGCATTTTTTGTCCTCGTTTGTTATTGTCTTTGATTTAGTTCAAATATTTTTAAATATCCGATGTCAGGGTTCCTCAAATATCACGCAACTTCGTTTGTTTGTTCTTTTATATTATTCAGTTATTTTAAAAGTAGAAACTCATAACTTTGCAAGAATTTAAAATTTTAACTGAAAAAGAAAAAACTTGTAATATATACCTATAATACTATAAAAAGAACATTATATTACGCCGATTGATACTACATCAGGGCGACATATTGTGGTGATCGAAAACAGCGCGCGAAAATAAATTTTAATCAGCTCATGGCCAATCAATCCATATTCCACACCACAATACGTCATGCGCGAACTCGTATCATGTAATCGGTCAGCGGAGCAATAACTCTTAACAATATTACGAAAATCAGTTTTATTTACTATGACATATTTTTAAATCCAATGAAAATAATACAGAGTGGAATAAAAATGACAACTTTCATTAAGTTTATTCTGCCATCTATTTTAAACTAGCAAAAGCTCCAGCCGTCTCTAGCTTAAAGAGACTCAATTAGACTGGCCACCTGGTGGTGGTCTCCTTTTGGTATCAAATAAATAAATGCATTGAGCTGGCCTACTAGGATTACTTATACAATGCTAGAAGTGTTCGATATACTTGTTACGCGTCCTCTCTCTTTCCCGGTCTAAGGGAAAAAACAATCAGTTTGAGTTGACATAAAACTTTGAAGAATTATTATACTAACAAAAAATTGTAAATCTAAATGTTAATTTTTGTTACAGGTGTCCATTGCAATAGTATAGTTCCTCCTTCGTGGATCGTTAAATTACCAAAGAAGGGAAGTTTCAAATCTAGCTTAAGAAAGTCACCGAAAAAACGAACTAGTGTGAAGAAAAATAAACATAAGGTAAGACGTATTCATAAATGACAGTCACTTAAATCGAACCCCTTGAATTCCAAAGAATTTATTGGAGAAAGTTTACAGTTCGAAATATTTCTTGCTGTTCGTAAAATTGCGAATATCCATATTGAGCGGAAGAGAAATTACTGTTTGCATTACCATATATTCAACACTCAAACGAAGCAAAAATTCAATGACTCACAAACACAAAAACATGTGTCTTTAATAACCCATATTTCACCCCATATTTGTAAATAGATATATTTCACTATATATTTCTATTTAATATTAAACACTATTAAAATCAACAATACAATTATCCGTCTCTAAGGTTACCTTAAAAAAATTGCAGTTTTTTTGACAACTTTGTCACTCCATTTATATTTCAAGCTGTCCTCAATTCACCTATTTTAAATCCGGTCCTAAATGACGTCACCGCTTTAATGCTGACAAACTTTTAGTTCGAAACATACGAACATCAGCTTAAGTTTACGAAACATGACACAAAACATGTCAAATGAGGGGAATGTATACTCTAGGGCTTTAACCTACTTATAACTACCGTCCTTTTAAAAGGCACTAAATTATTCTGTTGTTTTTTGAAATATTCGTCAATCGATAACAGGTGACGCCACTTCTTCCTGAAACGAATATAATTTTTTTACGTTTATTAACTATTTATTTCATTTTGCACCTGTCGCCATGGATATCCGAGATGGATGGATTGATCGATGGATGAATGGATGGAAGGAAGTTTTTGGTCTTATATTTATATTATGTTTATATAAAAGCAAATTTTATGATACTGGATTATTATAATTTAACTCTATTTAACCGTTACAATGACAAGAACTCTTGGAGGATTGTGAAAATGATTATTTGTATTTCCTGATTAGATAAAAACCTATTCAACATAGGAAGCATAACAACAACAAATTTTGATGATTTTAAGTAGGAGTAGGATTTGCGCATGAGTGGTAAAGACCGTCAATAAGAGATAGGTCTGTTTTGATTAAATCCTCTTAAATATTTATTTATCATCAATCATGTTATAACAGATTATACATAAGTGAAATGTGAGTTCGAAGAAATACGGAAAACTATTTCCATCACATTGTTTTTTGTATAAGTCATAATTATAATAGGTAGGTTTATTGATATTGACCATAAACTGCCATAATAATTTAAATTTTGAGTCAATCAATGGAACGTTTTGTTGTTCAGTTGATTTAAAAATCAATAAAAATATCAAAGTTTATACTCAAAAGCAACTGTTCTGTTCTTTATGGATTACACTTAATGTGATAATACTGCATTCCGTTCAGATGTATATATTTATTTATATACATTAACAAGATGTCGTTTGTAGCAATACTAACGTAGAAAACTAGATATAAGAGAAATGTCTAACGTTGCAGTCGAATACATATGAAAAACATAACTAAAGAAAATGGGCGGCTGGGGAATATGAGCGAGTCTAAACACTTTCTGCTACTTAAAGAGAATTACGCTCTATGTCATCTGGAGTAAACGTGTCGCCGCGCGGCTGTTGAAAATAACTTTGAAGTTTTTCCAGTTCTGAAAACACGACTGAAAGTAAGGGGACCAACAAGAAATGTATACAAGATGTCGCGTAAATATTAAGACATATTTATTCAGCAATTTAAAAAGTAACGATAAACAAATTTTTATTAGGCGACGCTGTCTTTTGCAGTTGTTCCACTGAAATACTAGAATACAAGATTCGAGCAAATTCATTGATTACATTAAATTTCATAATTTTAATTTGTTTGAGCAACCAGGTTTGAGTAACAATTTATAAGGTTAAAAATTTGGCGCCCAACGTGGGTTAATATATTAATAAACAATATTTAATATTTACTGCAATAGACTTTCATTGAGGAGGTACACAATCAATTGTAAAGAAAAATGTATGGTTACAGAAATATATGGTGAAGATAGCTCATGAGAGTTTAGCGTTAATAATAGTGGAAAAGCATTCAAGAGATTGAATATGATAATTGTATGTTTCGATCATAGCTCTCATAAACTCTAGATACCGCTCTTTATTTGGACTGCAATTAGTCTGTTTTTGCACCTGGTCGGTAATCTAATACTTTAGACTGCAATTTAGACTACAGTTTTGTTGTGATGGTACGTTTAAATTTTACCATATAAGACACAAAACTTCATAAAATTATCCACAAATGCAAAACCGTTATCATCATGCGGAAATTCATGATTTTATTCATCAATTTTTTCACGAAGATATTTTATATTACTAGTAGTTTAGTAAACAATTAAAGAGTCAACATAAATCTAATACGTTTTCATAATAAAAGTTTCGTCTTATTTTCGTTCCATAATTTTTAATCTTTCTTGGAAAGTAATATAAAAAGCAGTTACAAGTTTGGAAAAGAAGTCTCTGCCCACGTGCGAGCTTGATATTTTCAACTTAATTGTTTTTAGAACGTGAAGAAATTTTTAATATTCGTTTTACTGTAGAAAGGAAATGATAAAAAAAATTTCTGAACTAATTTTTGTTTGTATTGTTCTCTTCTTTTCACTTTCAAAAAAAGTAGGCTACGTAACAGTAATAAATATATACATACAGAGTGTTCGATATAAAATAAGAAAGTAAACCTATATCTGTAAATCTTGTGTAAAAAGATATGAAATAATGGTAGCTTCATATATCTATCGCACTCTTAGAGCCTCGACAGTGTCTTTTACTTCTCTGCTAATAAGGTCATATCCCGGGGCCGTTTTGGCGTACATGTTTGTCTGAATTTCTTTTGATAACTTCGTTGGGGTAACTAGAGTGATTTCAAATTGAGGTTGATTTAATCTAATTGAAAGTATAAAAAAAAACAGTTGGATATGTGCGTAAGTGGCGCCTCTATCAAAAACTGAAAATCAATGATACTGAAATAATTAAAATTGATTTCCGGTAAGACACATAAAATTTTATACATATAATTTTAATAGTTTTCGAGAAATAAAAAAATTAAAGATTTCTATAAATTTTATTTCTCCAAAATAGAATATACCTACGAATATTTTTATTTTTAAATATTTCTCTACAGTATCATTTTGACTGACTGTATCATTTACCATCACCCTGTACCCGTTTATAGAGTATGTATACCCTCATTGAATAAAATAATTTTTGAGTAGTTTTAAAAAATAAACAATCTTTTTCTACAGAGCTTCTTCTAGACGTTTTTGTACAACTAACATAACAAATAAATGAAACCAATCGCACTTCAAAGCTTGGTTTAAAATAAAAGCTAATTATTAATTGACCTAATCGGCTAGGGAGCATGCAGATCAAAAGTGGCCTTTGCCCTAACCAAAGTTTGTAGGAACCTGTGCAGTAAGAAGTTGAAGGTAATTTTACAGATGAAACTACAGAACCTTTGTTATTTGCATTACTGTAACAGTGGAAGCAGCACAGGGCCGCAGTACATTTCACCAAAGTTTAATATTTTTGGCTAAGTTTTTATTTGCGTTTATCCCTAGGTACTTTTTATTCTTTTGTTTTCTCTAAAAAAACAAGTGAGAAAATCTTTATTGAGAATTTGTAAAACGAGCTTCACGGAATCTATTTTTAACTTTAATATAAACCTACATATTTTTCTTGGAAACAAATTAAAAAATGAAGATCTGTAGAGCCAAAACTATTTTATTGTTTTAAATTTGTATGTCCGAAAAGATGACAATTTAAAAATAATTTTATTCATACAGGGTTCTCCAAAAAAGTGAAACAGATTAATTTTTACTGACAAACTGTGAACATTTAAATGACAAAGTATAAAAAGGAACATCGGTATTAATTACTTCGTTTTCTTCCACATAGGCATTTTCATTGTTGGTTCCTTCGAGGAGAGTATCTGTTAAACTTAGAATATTTGTTAAAGTTGCGCCTTCTACGAAAAATATACTCGCTAATTTCCATTCCTTTGGGCCATGTTTCTGGTTTAAAGAGAATGTCCTTAAGGTCTGCATCGGCAGTGATTCTAAACGAATTTGATCCTATAACTTTGTTTTCAAACAAACTGCATGAAAATTCATGACCAGGAAATTTAGATTCCAAGTAATTTTGCATCTTTTCCAATGTGTAGGATTGTATTTGGAGGCATACACCCATACTTTTTCAGTTGATACAAGATTCTCGCTTTCACTTTCACCTATTATTTTTGTTTGTATTTGGCTATTTTCACCCAAATTTTGTATTTCGTTCATTTTATTGTGTGAGTGGATTTATAATAGTCCAGATGACATCTGTTGGTGCGTGATTTTTTCTTTGTTTCTCTCTTTGGAGTTTCTTGCTTGTTGGTTATTAGTTAAATTGCCATTACCTGAAGCATCTGGTTTTTGAGGAACAGTGGCAACTGCGCTTTGGTTGCTAGCCAAATTCACAATCCTCGCATATTCAGATTTTGATGATACAGTGGCAACAGCGCTTTGGTTATTGGTATTCGGATCATAGTTAACCTCCAGATTTTTTGGATTTTATAAAAGACTAATTATGAGTTCTTGATTATTAATAGTTCGGTCTAACTCACTTATTAAACGTTTTGAAGCATCTAGTTCCACTTTAGCTACTTTTAAGTCTCATTTTAAAGTCAAAAAAACTCACCGATTCAGCATGGTTATCGACATTATTATCACGAATATCGTTAGATGCATAAAAAACTCCGTGTTTTCACTAATGTTCACATGCTTCATAACTTTATCACTCACTTTTATATCGTCAGGCACTTTCTTTTCAAGTATTATCCGAATTAAGTAACATTTGTTTAGCTTATTTAATTCCTTTTTAGCTTCCTCCAAGAACGCCATGTTGAATTGACATAGGGGTATCGTAACAATTTCTATAACAAACACATTCATTCTGAACAGACATTGAAACACAAAGTTTCGAATTTATAAACTATTGCTCTCTCAAATTGTACTCCAGACATGTTAGAAAATAATTACTGCCGACATTGTGAACAACTTAT